TACATATGGTTCCTACCTCAGAGTGCCCATTCTTGTTTTGTCCTGCCCTTTTCCTAAGTGTACAATTAGCTGGCTGCTCAGAGGCAATTTTGCAGAGGACTGTATCTGTGCTGGTTGGCCTGCTTAGAGCTCAACATCTACATGCTTTCTGATCAGGAAGTTTATATATTCCAGTCATTTGCCCATGTATCTTCTGATCAATGAACAGGCTGCTCATGCAGCACATCTGAACAGGTTAACCAGAAAGCAGACAGCAACTTACAATCTTTTAAAACTGCTTTGCAAACCGTGTGTTGTGCATATTTGCCTTAGAATTTGGTGTTCGCTGCTATGGAAATGAAATGTTTTACTTTTTATATTACAATTCACAAGTCACCTGCTAACTTCTCATTTGGCACAAGGATGTCTAAGCAGTGCAGGAAGTTTAGTGCATGAGCTGTGTTTTGATGAAGGATTTCTCTGTCTCTTCCTCATGCCTTTCTGTTTTGGGGGATTTTTCCTCGATGAACTATTTTGTCAAATACTTACTCAGTTTGTAGTTTCTCAAGTTGCCTGTACTGCACAAAAGCTTTTCCACTGTTTAAAACAAGAAAAGCTTTGATGCAATTCAAAAATTTAAGGAGATGTCATATTGAACAGACTACATCGGAAAGAAGTAAAGTAGATATCCTTTTTTTTTTGGTACTATAAAGCAATGATGGAACGCGACCTTGCTAAGAGTCTATCCCCAAGTAATACTTGATTAGCAGTTCCCAAAGTGTCATCCATTTTCTTGCCTTTCTGATAAAGGCAGCACTAGGGAACAGGTATCTTTGCATCTTTATTTAACTTCTGCAGAACATGAAGCAGATGTCAGATGATACAAAGTCTTGGGATCCCTCCTAGAGGAGACCTAATATTTTGTGTCTGCTGGCGCTTGGGATGGTTTAGTGTACCTGTCATGGAATTCGGTAGTAGGGTTGGGAAGACAGAACTGCTCACTACATTTTATTATGAAGTTTTGGGTGAGTAGTAGGATTTCTCAGAATATGTAGTATTTTATAGCATTCTTTACACTCAGTAAACTCTTCTTGATCTCAGTTGCAAAGAAGATTGTACAATGTAAAAGACCATTATGTAATCTTAAGTGTCTTCTGCAGAAATGATTCAAAATAATTGAAATCTCTGCTTTATTCATCACGGTAGTCTGACTTCTGCAGTTCAAGAAAAAAACAAACCCAACCACAAAACCTTGTGTTTTGCGCTGTTCTCATACTGTTAATGATTATTAAATGTTTATCATTGACTATATTTTGTATACCAGTAAATAATAAGCATTTTTTCCTTCCTAATTAAGCCGTAGAATTTACCTCACAAGATTATACTATGGAATGGAAATTCCAGTGATTTGTTTTGTTGGGGTTCTTTTTAATCCTAAATAGTACCAGAGGTTAGAAATAACTGCATGTATACACTTCATCCTTTTTTTTCTTCACTTAATACTATTGGGCGTTCAGGTATGTTGCAATTTGGTAGATCTTGTGTGCTTTATGCACTCTCCTGTAAGTGGTCTGGATTTAAACACTGTTAGGAAGGAGGTGCCTTCTGGAGCAGCATGTGTTAATCTGCCTTTGAAGGGGTATGGTGTGTAGCACTTTTAGGTGAATAAGGTGTCTTTAAGTACGCAAAGGCTGCCTATGATAGGGAAGCTGCTGCCTCAGTTGTTGGAAGTGACTGCCATGGATAAGACTGCAAGAAAAATGATTCCTTACTAAGCTACAGAGCTTATTATAGTAAAGCTTAGTATTATAAAACCCATTCTTCTCAAACACCAAGTAAAATCCTAGGCCACCAGAGTTTCTTTTCATCTGTGAGTACTTCACACATGCAGGTTATCTATAGCCATCGAAACTTTCTCTTCAGAGTCACCCTGTTCCAGATGTAATTTCAGTAACACTGTGGCCATGATAGGAAGTCTCAGAGCAGGGTGATAAAATTGTTAAATCTTAAATCTGAGGCTTCTGGTATTTTAGTACAAAGCTGTAGTAAAGCTTTTTCTGTGAAGGCTAGAATAAAAAAAAAAAAATTGCATGATTTCTTAATACAGTTTTTTACTCCTAAAAGAACAGTTACTATAGCAAAACCCTAATGTGATGGACATAGATAAAAGTAACTAACAGCATTTTTCAGTAACTTTAGGAAAATATGTCAGTAAGAGCTTTTTTCAATGGATTAAAGAGTTTTAGCATCTAATGATGTATTCCTCATTAAAAAAAAAAAAAAAAGGAATCAACCTTCTACCCAAGCATTCCTGAACAAAAAATACATGTTACCTTCAATGTGTTTTATAGCCCTCTGTGCCCATGTTCTTAAACATTTGATAGGTGGTTCAACCATTCCAGAGAAAACATCTGTGCTTTGTTCAGCCTTTTTTGTAAAGGAAAACGGTGTCCAAAACCTGGGACTCTTTTACTGATGATGAAACAGAAATGGGTCCTCAACTTAAGCTTAGTTTCTGCCTTCTTCCTTGATTACTTAAGTAGAAAACACTGTAGGTCAAGCGTAAAATGTCTTTTGCATTGCATGGATAAAGGGGTATTACACAGTTTAATGTATCAATCACTTTGATTCATTTGGATATACACATTGGATTTATTATGGCTAATGATATAGCAAGCAAGATCATTAAAAAATACAAATAATATGTTATAATTTTATTTAAATATTAACCATTTCATGTCAAAGTCTAGTTATAGGTAGTTAGAATGACTTTAGTGCTACTTATATTCTACTAGAATCTTTCTCCATATTCACATTTCGGGAGTCTCTTCAGTGAAAATATCAGCTTTACGTTTGTGATGTTCTGATGTGGATTTTGTAAAAAGGCCATACAGACTTTTCTTAAATGTTTTATCTAGCAGAATGTATATAACTGGATCTAAACTGCTCTTAGCAGCAGCAAGACAAGTAAGGAAATTTTTTATTTCCACTAGATAGTTTAACCTTGGGCAGTCATTATTTGTAAGCAGTGCATAAAAAATTGGCCTGAAAATATGATATGGAAGAAAGCAGACAGTTAATATCATCTGGATGACAAGAATGTTTCTTTTCACTGTTTTGTAAATTAGATGTTTTTCTCCAATACAGGTGTTTTTTTGTATCTTACTCAGATGTCTGGTAAGGGAATAGTATGACAACAAAACTGTCAGAAAAGACAGAAAAAAACATGCAGTGGCAAGACAAGCTGCCGTCATTGTGGTAAATTCACCTGCTTCTACCATGATGTTGTAGCATCCAGGAAATTCTTCCCTTGCTTGGACACTGTATGCTATAGCTGTTACCGTTATGCAGAGCACAGTGAGCCATATAATGATGCACAAATATTTAGCAAATTTTGGCTGACGAAACTTTTTAAGTACGCATCTGTAAAACTTGTCATTAACTGCTTGAGAGTATTGTGTATCACCATTTTTCTTCAGTGTTGCATACTGACTTAGAGCAATTGAACATAAAATTATAATCGTAACATACATACTAACATGCATAATGAGAGTCCCAAGGTGATTTGCTGTTCTACATGCTACAGAGTCATAAGTCCATTGGTACCCTCTTGCAAAATAGGCAGCCAGAAAAGGCATAGTGCTACATATGAGTAAATTCGCAGTGACAAGGTTTGCCAGATAAATGTATTGTGTTCTTTTTGTGGGTGTTTGCCTTGAAAATATCCAGGCAGTGAGAATATTTCCAAAGCTTCCAGCAGGAAACAGGAAAGAGTAGATGACTGGGAGAGCTACAGTAGTAGCTAACGATGGCTGAAGAAGACATGTTGAATTTCTCATTTATGCTGGTATTTCTTGAATGAATGGTCAGAGCTGAAACATAATTAAAAGAATTAGTATTCTGTACTGTGCTTCTAACATCTCTTTTGTTTTTTGCTCTTATTTTAACCGTTCCTTTTTCTCCTCTACTTTTCAGTGTTACTACCTGCTGATTGCCCTGTGGGGTTATGATCTTGAGTTTGCATGAGGTTTCTGTTTGAGTGTTCTCTTCCATTGAGATTTTGTGAAGAAAAGTTGTCTGATGTTAAAGTCCAAAGATTTTATGTGCATATAATCTAATAAAACAAATGAGGAAACAGAAAGTTCAAGCTAGGGTCTGAAAATAACTTGTGTGGTCTTGGTTTATTTCTCAGTCTTCTGGAGCATCTGTAACCTACTTTGGAAACCACTTCTAGAGTACTTTAAGTTAAATAAGCGAAATAAGTACAAAGTATTTATTTAATAGCAGAAACACAGAGGAGTATCCTATACCTCTGGTTACATACAAATTGAACTGTGTGTGATGCAGGAATCTGGCTAGATACATTTATTTTGTGCTGATGTCTGTATCTAATGTTATTTTGTTCAGAGCTCTAATCTTAGATGTACATTTGCATAAACAATTCAATCTGTATTTTTAAACATACAAAATGGTTGTTGAAACCACTATATATTTATTTTTTCCAAGTTCAGTTTTCAATCTTTGCTAAATTTCCAGACTTCAATTAAGAAATTTAAGCTCTATACAATGACTACATGTAAAAATTGGCATTTCAGCTTATGAACCTGTAGTGAAGAGAGATTTTCCTGTTCTACGGATACTATTTTAGTGGGGTGTATCCTAGTTAGCTTTTGTTCCATATAAAATCATATGGCAAAAAAACCCGTATTTCAAACTTACAGAGTGATAATAATTTTTTTGAAACAGCTTTAAGTAAAATAACTCAGATATCAAAGAGGATTCTGTGTAGCTGTGATAAAAACTGCAGACACCAAATTGATTAGATAGCAAAAAGTTGTAAAAGTCATATTTTAAAATTATACTGTAGGCCATGTTTGATGACTTCCAAATTAAACTAGCATTTTAGTGTACACCAGGTCCCATATGGGTTGTTGAACCAAAATATATTAAATTCTTCTATTACAATGAGTTACATTCACAAATTGTTGAATTCAGTCATTTGGAAGTCTAATGATCATTTTTGTGTCAATGCATGAATTTTGTCAGGTGGAACAAAGAAGTAGTAGATTTAAGCTTACCTATGCAAGCTGCAGCAGGCACCTTCCTTTGCAGAGAGGAAATTTTTCTGTCTGATGTCTCTTATTATCTCCACTGTTACAATGAAAAGGATGGTACTTGAATCTGGAAAGTACAGTTAAGAACAATATTCCTCTGACATAAGTAGGTTTTCAGAATGCACAGTTTTCTTTGGTGGTGTCAAAAAGCAGCTAGGCATTTAAAGTTCAGACAAGATGATGTTATCTGTACAAAAAAGACTTTGAAATTAGGTCAGGATACAGCTCCATTAGAAAGATAAAAAGAATGAGATAGTGTGGAAGAGTGATTGTAACAGTCCTTTTGTCATGTAGGTATGGCACAGAAACACCTTACAACCCTTTATATAGTGCTTTCCTCTTTTGGGGGGTGGAGGGACTGTTACTTTTGTTCTCTTTAGGACTGCCCACTTTCCATAGTGGGGGAAAAAAAAAAAAGTTGCTATTCTATGCCTAAACACTTGTATTTTCAATGACATTTAACTGTTCTTTGGCTCCAAGAGCTATCACAAAGCTGAATGTCTATGCCTGAAGCCCACAAGCAATAATACTGTATCCATGTCTGTCCTCACAAGTGACCAAATGAACACATCTCATATGTCTAGTCAGGTGATGGATTGTGCAGAAGCAATTTACAGCTGATGCATTCTAGGCATCAGTTGGGGAAAACTGAATCTGTGTCCAAGAAATCCAGTATTTTATACAAATTATCCAGAAGTATGCACAGGACAATTTCCTTGCTCCTCAGGAGAGGTTTGATCACAGATCAGTCAAACTCTATTTGACTCTGCAGTCTGATACATTTGTGGTTGTCAGATCTGGCTTTTCAACAGCTATAAGTTCCTTTATGAGAACAGAGGAGATACCATATAAAAACTTCTGCAATTTTGGTAAGGTTCTTATTTTGTTAGTTCTGCTTTATGTTTAAAAGTACACTCTGAGAATCCACCTCAGTGATCTACTCTCAATTTTATTGTTCAGTGTCATGATTTTTTTTTTTTTTTACTAAAATGGTGGACATGTATGCTGGCCTCCTATTTAGATGACATAGTTGATCTCATTTAAGATTAAATTTAAGTGAGGGAAACTTGCTGTGGAGTACTAGTAATTAGTTTGTAATGCTGTAATTAGTTTACATGCTCTTTAATTCTTGTTCCTATTAGATTTAATTGTACCTTGTTTTTCTTTTTTACACTTTTGAATGTATAGTTGTATTAAAATTTGTTTTAACAGAAAGAATCTTGTATTAATTAATTATTTAATAGTCTTTTAACTAGTCTTAGAAGTTCTTGTTACTGTGATGTTCCACCCACACTTAGGCACAAGAATGCATATCCTGAAAATTCTCTAAGAGACATGCCAAAAAATGGTGTGGGCAATTCCAGTTAGCAGGGGTTTTTTTAATTACTATTATTTGGTTGGTTATTAACTGTAGCCTGTAGTATTTATAATTTGGTGACCATAACTTGCTGTAGGAAGAGGTAATGCTACATTTCCATTCCATTCACATAACTTAAAAATGGCATATTTTATCTAAAATACATTTTATACTCAAATGGCACAACTGTATCTTTTATGCAATTCACTCTTAAGTTTTTCATAATGACCTTCACATACGTTCTTCACCTCAATTATTTCTCTTTTCTGTACTCTTAAACCGTGATCACTTTCTAACTTATACGTTACTAGATTTTTATATGCTGGTAGGCAGCATATAGAATCATTAAATAATTTAGGTTGGAAAAGCCCCTTACGATCACCAAGTCCAGCCATTAACCTAGCACTGCCAAATCCACCACTAAACCATGTCCCTAAGCACCACGTCTATGTGTCTTTTAAATACCTCCAGGGATGGTGACTCCACCACTTCCCTGGGCAGCCAGTTCCAATACTTGACAACCCTTTCAGTGAAGAAATTTTTCCTGATGCCCAGCCTAAACCTCCCCTAGTGCAACTTGAGACCATTCCTTCTATCACTTGTGACTTGGGAGAAGAGACCTACACTCATATTGCTATAATGTCCTTTTAGTTGGTCATGGAGAGTGATAAGGTCTCTTCCTCAGCCTCCTTTTCTCCAGGCTAAGCAACACCAGTTCCCTCAGCCACTCTTCATAAGACTTGTGCTCTAGGCCCTTCACCAGCTTCATTGCACTTCTTTGGACTTACGTTGCATTTTTCCATTGTATGCAGACAACTTATTTTATGGCCCAAAAGCACAAAACCAGGGAAATTTCCAGTGGTGAAAGATATTTTAGTTAACCATTTATAAACCATACTTGGCATGTTATGTAACATAATCATATGTGACAGAGTGAACCACTTGCAGCCTGCCTGACCACTTCCTCTCCCCTCCACCTGTTTGAGATGACACAAGACAGCCCAGTCAACCTCCTGTCTGCTTGTGCCTGTCACAAACCAAATAGAGAACTGGTGTGTTCTGCTGGACAACAGCGTATATACTGTGTTGGCGGCGGTTGCTCCTTGATGGAGGAAGGCAGCAGCTCAGTTACCTCTGGTTCCTGTAGCAGTCCTGTCTCTCTGTGCTGTGGAAGGCCCAAGAGATGCGCTCAGTCTCTGCGTCTTGAAGGATGGAAGGCAACTGTTGAGGATAGGGCACAGAAAAAGATGCGACCCTGGGTAGGACAGGACTACTATGGGTGCTGAGGAAGAATCATACTGAATAAATGTATAGCATGCACCAAACGTGCAGCAGCCTTTAACTTGAGATTTAATTTCACGTACTTGGAATTTCGTCTACTGTGTGGCATTTAATACCAAGATAAGTGTCTAACATGTACTGGCTACTGCACAAGTGCAATCCATATTTTCTTTAAAAAAATGGTTTACCAAGTAGCTTGCCTAGAACTTTGACTTTTGGTGCTTAGTTTTGTTGGAATTTTTTTTTCCTTAAACATTAAAATTGAAGGGTCTTTTGGCTGCATAAACTGTTAAGACAGATGCACTACACGATAACCATTTTCAGTTAGGCATCTATATCAGGAGAGTTGTTGCAGAGCACCATGGTTTCTCTCTGCCTGCTCATTAGCTTTCCACACAGGGATGACCCAGTGCATGCTCAGCTCCTCTCCTGACTTGATATAATGAGTATTTTTGCTGTAGTCAGTATATGTGTTTAATATTTTAAGAAGTTCTCATCAAAGCAAAATCATCTAAGGTCATGTTTAAATCTACTTGAGTTGAGTCGAGCACTGTGCTGAATCAGTGAAGATAAAATATTTGGCAGGTTTGAGCTGTGCCTGTGTTTGCTGTTCGCTAATGATTTATTTTCACCAGTTTTAGAACTGCCCTTATGTTTCAGCAAAATAGGCCCAGAATGAAAGTTATGTTGGTTGATGAATTGCAAGTGTATGCAGTATAACTCTGTGGCATCTTAGAGATATAGAAATGGGGATATATCGCACCCATAGCTTCAGTTCTTCGGTTGTCATAAAATATGCTAAGTTGAGTGTTTCACAGGCTCCAGGTAGTTGTTTTACATAGACAAAACACAAGCCAAACAATGCCTTTTAGGCAGGAAAACTTAGCTTGAATTTGACAGTACTAACAAAAGTAATCTTGCAACATTTTTATTCTTCAGATGTTTAATGCTAAATACATTGCATTTTTTTCCCCAATTACATTCTTTGTGCAGCTCCCAGAAGTCTCTGTAACTGTAGTTGCTTCTAAAAAGCAGTGGCTCTGTATTGGTCATGATTACTTTTACATTTAACTTCAGAAATCAGTTT